CAAAAGTTTTATACTCAGTGTAAGCATGATTCTTACGTTTTAAGCACAAGTTCTGGTACTTTGTAAAAAAAAAAAAAATAGCCTACAAAATGACAGGCTCTGAATTAAAGACAATGTGAGAAATGAAAGAGAGAAAGAATGAAGTATAAGAAAGAGACAGACTGGCAGTTGGAGAGAAAAATGTAGAGAGGAGAAAAAGAGAGAAAAATGGAAAAGTCAGAGGAAATCGGAGGAGAGAGAGAATAGATGCAATAGACAGAGAGAATGATAGATATATAGATGGTGAGTGGGAATGTAGTGAAAGTAAAAAGGAAGGAGAAAAACGAAATGAGGGAAAGAGAGAGAGAGAGAGAGAGAGAGACTGAGAGAGAGACTGAGAGAGACCGATAAAAGAAAGCGAATAATGAAAAAGAGCGATTAAAATAAAGAAAGATGAGAGACGAGGAGGAAGAGAGAGAGAGGGAGAGAAAGAGACTGAGAGACTGAGAGAGAGAGAGAGAGAGAGATTGGCTGAGAGAGACAGAGAAAAGAAAGCGAATAATGAAAAAGAGCGATTAAAATAAAGAAAGATAAGAGACGAGGAGGAAGAGAGAGAGAGAAAGAGAGAAAGAGATTGAGAGACTGAGAGAGAGAGAGAAAGAGAAAGAGAGAGGGACTGAGAGAGACCGAGAAAAGAAAGTAAATAATGAAAAAGAGCGATTAAAATAAAGAAAGATAAGAGACGAGGAGGAAGACAGAGACAGAGAAAGAGAGAAGAGACTGAGAGAACGAGAGAGAGAGAAGAGACTGAGAGACCGAGAGAGAGAGAGACAGAGAGAGAGAGAGAAGGACTGACAGAGACCGAGAAAAGAAAGCAAATAATGAAAAACAGCGATTAAAAGAAAGAAAGATGGCAGACGAGAAGGAAGAGAGAGGGAGAGAGAGAGAGAGAGAGAGAGGGACTGAAGAGACTAAGAAAAGAAAGCAAATAATGAAAAAGGGCGATTAAAAGAAAGAAAGATGAGAGACGGCGAGGAAGAGAGAGAGAGAGAGAGGGAGACCGAGACAAGTATGCGAATAATGAAAAAGAGCGATTAAAAGAAAGATGAGAGACGAAAAGGAAGAGAGAGAGAAAGAGAGAGAGAGAGAGAAAGAGAGAGAGAGAAAGAAAGAGACCGAAAATAATGAATGAAAAGAGCGATTAAAATAAAGAAAGATGAGAGAGGAGGAGGAAGAGAGAGAGAGAGAGAGAGAGAAAGAGAGAGAGGGGGCGGCTGAGAGAGACTGAGAAAAGAAAGCTTATAATGAAAAAGAGCGATGAAGAAGAGAGAGAGAGAGGAACTGAGAGAGACCGAGAAATGAATGCGAACAAAGTAAATGACCAATTAAAAGAAAGAAAGATGAGAGACGAGGAGGAAGAGAGAGAGAGAGAGAGAGAGAGAGAGAGAGAGAGAGAGGGAATGAGAGAAGAAAAGAAAGAAAATAATGAAAAAACAGCGATTAAAAGAAAGAAAGATGAAAGACGAGGGGAAGAAAGAGAGAGAGAGAGAGAGAGAGAGAGAAGGACTGAGAGAGAGAGAAAAGAAAGTGAATAATGAAAAAGAGCGATTAAAAAAGAAAGAAAGATGTCAGACGAGGAAGAGAAAAAGAGAAAGAGGGACAGAGAGACCGAGAAAAGAAAGAAAATAATGAAAAAGAGCGATTAAAAGAAAGACAGATGAAAGACGAGGGGGAAGAAAGAGAGAGAGAGAGAGAGAGAAGGACTGAGAGAGACCGAGAAAAGAAAGCGAATAATGAAAAAGAGCAATTAAAAGAAAGAAAGATGTCAGACGAGGAAGAGGAGAGACTGAGAAGGACCGAAAGAGAAAGAAAAGAAAAGAAAATAAGAAAAGAGCGATTAAAAGAAAGAAAGATGGAAGACGAGGGGGAAGAAAGAGAGAGAGAGAGAGAGAGAGAAGGACTGAGAGACCGAGAAAAGAAAGCAAATAATGAAAAAGAGCGATTAAAAGAAAGAAAGATGAGAGACGAGGGGAAGAAAGAGAGAGAGAGAGAGAGAGGACTGAGAGAGAGAGAAAAGAAAGAAATAATGAAAAAGAGCGATTAAAAGAAAGAAAGATGTCAGACGAGGAAGAGAGAGGGAAAGGCTGAGAGAGACCGAGAGAAAAAGAAAAGAGAGATTAAAATGAAAAAAGATGAAAGACGAGGGGAAGAAAGAGAGAGAGAGAGAGAGAGGAGAGAGGACTGAGAGAGACCGAGAAAAGAAAGCAAATAATAAAAAAGAGCGATTAAAAGAAAGAAAGATGAGAGAGGGGAAAAGGACTGAGAGAGACCGAGAGAAAGAAAAATGAAAAAGAGCGATTAAAAAGAAAGAAAGATGTCAGACGAGGAAGAAGAGAGAGAAATAAAGAGAGAGAGAGGACTGAGAGAAAAAAGAAAGCAAATAATGAAAGAGAGCGATTAAAAAGAAAGAAAGATGGAAGGGGAGAAGAGAGAGAAAGAGAGAGAGAAAGACTGAGAGAGACAATGAAAAGAGCCAAAAGAAAGAAAGATGAAGACTGAAAAAGAAAGCAAATAATGAAAGAGAGCGATTAAAAAGAAAGATGAAGATGAAAGAGAGAGAGAGAAGAGAGAGAGAGAGAGAAGAGAGAGGGAAAAAAAAAGCAAATGAAAAAGAGAAAGAAAGATGTCAGACGAGGAAAGAGAAAGAAAAGAGAAAAAAGAGACCGATTAAAAGAAAGAAATAATGAAAGACGATTAAAAGGGGGAAGAAAGAGAGAGAGAGAGAGAGAGAGAGAGAAGGACTGAGAGAGACCGAGAAAAGAAAGCAAATAATGAAAAAGAGCGATTAAAAGAAAGAAAGATGTCAGACGAGGAAGAAGAGAGAGGGAAAGAGAGAGAGGGACCGAGAGAGACCGAGAAAAGAAAGCAAATAATGAAAGAGAGCGATTAAAAGAAAGAAAGATGAAAGACGAGGGGGAAGAAAGAGAGAGAGAGAGAGAGAGAGAGGAGAGAAGGACTGAGAGAGACCGAGAAAAGAAAGCAAATAATGAAAAAAGAAAGAAAGATGTCAGACGAGGAAGAAGAGAAAGAGAGAGAGGGACTGAGAGAGACCGAGAAAAGAAAGCAAATAATGAAAGAGAGCGATTAAAAGAAAGAAAGATGAGAGACGAGGAAGAAGAGAGAGAGAGAGAGAGAGAGAACTGAGAGAGACCGAGAAAAGAGAAAGGATGAAAAAAGAGCTTAAAAAGAAAGAAAGATGTCCGAGGAAAAGAGAGAGGGAAAGAGAACCGAGAGAATGAAAGATAATGAAAGAGAGCGATTAAAAGAAAGAAAGATGAAAGACGAGGGGGAAGAAAGAGGGAGAGACAGAGAAGGACTGAGAGACCGAGAAAAGAAAGAATGATGAAAAGGAAACTGAAAGATGTCAGACCGGGGTAAGAAGAAAAAGCAAATAATGAAAAAGAGCGATTAAAAGAAAGAAAGATGAGAGACGAGGGGGAAGAGAGAGAGAGAGAGAGAGAGGACTGAGAGAGAGAGAGAGAAAACAAATAACAATGAAAGAGAGCATTAAAAAAGAAAAAAGATGAAAGACGAGAAAAAGAGAGAGAGAGAGAGAGGACCGAGAAACCGAGAAAAGAAAAAAATAATGAAAGAGCGAAAAGAAAGATGTCAGACGAGGAAGAAGAGAGAGGGAAAGAGAGAGGGGACTGAGAGAGACCGAGAAAAGAAAGCAAATAATGAAAGAGAGCGATTAAAAGAAAGAAAGATGAAAGACGAGGGGGAAGAAAGAGAGAGAGAGAGAGAGAGAGAGAGAAGGAGAGACCGAGAAAAAGAAAGCAAATAATGAAAAAAGAGCGATTAAAAGAAAGAAAGATGTCAGACGAGAAAGAAAGAGAAAAGCTGAGAGAGACCGAGAAAAGAAAAGCAAATAATGAAAGAGAGCGATTAAAAAAAAAGAAAGATGAAAGACGAGGGGAAAGAAAGAGAGAGAGAGAGAGAGAGAGAGGACTGAGAGAGACCGAGAAAAGAAAGCAAATAATGAAAAAAGAGAAAGATTAGAAAAGAAAGAGAGGGAAAGAGAGAGAGGGACTGAGACCGAGAAAAGAAAGAAATAATGAAAGAGACGATTAAAAGAAAGAAAGATGAAAGACGAGGGACTGAGAGAGAGAGAGAAGGACTGAGAGAGAAGAAAAGAAAAGCAAATAATGAAAAGAGCGATTAAAAAAAAGAAAGAAAGATGCGACGAAAAGAAAGAAAGATGAAGAGAGGGACGAGAGAGGAGAAAAAGAAAGAACAATGAAAGAGAGATTAAAAGAAAGAAAGATGAAAGACGAGGGGGAAGAAAAAGAGAGACCGAGAAAAGAAAGAAAATAATGAAAAAGAGCGATTAAAAGAAAAAAGATGTCAGACGAGGAAGAAGAGAGAGGAAAGAGAGAGAGAGGGACAGACGACCGAGAAAAGAAAGCAAATAATGAAAGAGAGCGATTAAAAAAAAAGAAAGATGAAAGACGAGGGGGAAGAAAGAGAGAGAGAGAGAGAGAGAGAGAGAGAGAGGAGAGAGACCGAGAAAAAAAAGGAAATAATGAAAAGAGCGATTAAAAGAAAGAAAGATGTCAGACGAAAAAAAGAGAGAGGGAAAGAGAGAGAACTGAGAGAGACCGAGCGAAAAATAAAGAAAATAAAAGAAAGAAAGATGAAAGACGAGGGGAAGAAAGAAGAGAGAGAGAGAGAGAGAGAAGGACTGAGAGAGACCCCAGAAAAAGAAAGAAAAAGAAAGCTGAGATGAGACGAGGAAGAAGAGAGAGGGAAGAGAGGGACTGAGAGAGACCGAGAAAAAAAGCAAATAATGAAAAGAGCGATTAAAAGAAAGAAAGAAAAGATGTCAGACGAGGAAGAAGAGAGAGAGAGAGAGGAGAGAGAGAGGGACCGAGAGAGACTGAGAAAGAAAGCAAATAATGAAAAAAAAGAATTAAAAAGAAAGAAAAGATGTCAGACGAGGAAGAGAGAAAAAATGAAAGAGAGCGATAATGAAAAGAAAAAAGAAAGATGAAAGACGAGGGGGAAGAAAGAGAGAGAGAGAGAGAGAGAGAGAGAGAAGGACTGAGAGAGACCGAGAAAAGAAAGCAAATAATGAAAAAGAGCGATTAAAAGAAAGAAAGATGTCAGACGAGGAAGAAGAGAGAGGGAAAGAGAGAGGGGACTGAGAGAGACTGAGAAAAGAAAGCTAATAATGAAAGGAGAGAGAGAAAAAAAGAAAGAAAAGACGAGACGAAAGGAAGAAGAGAGAGAGAGAGAGAGAGAGAGAGAGGGACCGAGAGAGACCGAGAAAAGAAAAAAAATAATGAAAAAGAGCGATTAAAAGAAAGAAAGATGAAAGACGAGGAAGAAGAAAGAGGGAAAGAGAGAGAGAGAGAGACCGAGAGAGAGAGAAAGAAAAGCAAATAATGAAAGAGAGCGATTAAAAGAAAGAAAGATGAAAGACGAGGGGGAAGAAAGAGAGAGAGAGAGAAAGGACTGAGAAACCGAGAAAAGAAAAGCAAATAATGAAAAAAGCTATTAAAAGAAAGAAAGATGTCAGATTAGGAAAAGAAAGAAAGAGAGAGGGACCGAGAGAGACCGAGAAAAGAAAAAGCAAATAATGAAAGAGAGCGAAGGACGAGGGGAAGAAAGAGAGAGAGAGAGAGAGAGAGAGAGAGAGAAGGACTGAGAGAGACCGAGAAAAGAAACCAAATAATGAAAAAGAGCGATTAAAAGAAAGAAAGATGAATGACGAGGGGGAAGAAAGAGAGAGAGAGAGAGAGAGAGAGAGAGAGAAGGACTGAGAGAGACCGAGAAAAGAAAGCAAATAATGAAAAAGAGCGATTAAAAGAAAGAAAGATGTCAGACGAGGAAGAAGAGAGAGGGAAAGAGAGAGAGGGACTGAGAGAGACCGAGAAAAGAAAGCAAATAATGAAAGAGAGCGATTAAAAGAAAGAAAGATGAAAGACGAGGGGGAAGAAAGAGAGAGAGAGAGAGAGAGAGAAGGACTGAGAGAGACCGAGAAAAGAAAGCAAATAATGAAAAAGAGCGATTAAAAGAAAGAAAGATGTCAGACGAGGAAGAAGAGAGAGGGGGAAAGAGAGAGAGGGACCGAGAGAGACAAATAATGAAAGAGAAAAAAGAAAGAAAGGTGAATAATGGGAAGAAAGAGAGAGAGAGAAAAAAGGACTGAGAGAGACCGAGAAAAAAGAAAGCGAATAATGAAAAAAGAGCGATTAAAAGAAAGAAAGATGAGAGACGAGGAGCAAGTGAGAGTGAGAGAGAGAGAGAGAGATAGAGAGAGAGAGAGAGAGAATGAGAATCTGCTGATCGGAGCTTATTTATAGTTTCAGGGCACGCGCGCATTATCTGGCGTGATCAACATTGTGAAACAAGTCCCGTACGCTGAAACCCTCGGTCACAATGACTTGTGACTTCGTGCTAGCAAAACTACAGACGGTTCGAAAGTAGTTCCGTCAACACAGTTTCGCTCATAAGGCTTGGTTAAATCTGTGGTATGTTTTTTCAGGCAATTTCAAAAATGTGCTGAACTCCCCCAGGTCGATAACATGAAGAAGTCGTGGTGAGATTCGAACACGGGTTTCATGGTCGGAAAGCGGACCTTCTAACCATCAGATTACATGACCATATCTCGTGCAAGTTGTTTGATAGTGGCATCACCATTATTATTGGCAAAAAAAAGTACTGATAATTACCAAAAACTAAATGCCTACTGCATAGTTTGCGATGGGTAAATTGTCGCCATTTTATATTTTTTTTTATTTCGCGCATGCGCGTTGTTTGTTTTTCATTTTATACGCTAAAGTAGGGTCAGAAAGAGTTGGATGAGTCTAATAGTGATTACGAATATGTTTGGGATGACCACTAGTGATGGCGACGTTATGACTCCATTCATCATCCCACCGGGCTTCAAACTCAACACAGATTCCTACATTAAGAGCCTTGAGGCGGTAGTGTTACACTGGGTCAAGAGGGTGGCTGCTGGAAATCCCTGTGTCTGGGAAAAAGACTCTGCACCATGCCACACAAGCTGGAGTATCCAATCATGGCTGTCAAACAATTTCTGTGACCACATCACCCCTCCCATCTGGTCACCTAACTCCCAGACTGCAAACCCCTTGATTATTTTGTGTGGAGACGCAGTTGAACGAGACAGCAAAAACCTCCTTGTAACACCAAATATGAACTGAAGGCAAGAATTATGGCAGCATTCATCAACTTAAACAAGGAGATCGTCCAGAAGAGTTGCAGGAGATCCCGAAGTTGTCGAGAGCTCTTTACTATTTCAAGATATTTTTTTTATAATTTTGGTAAATATATCTCTTAAAATGAGATATCAGTGTTATTTTTATTTTCATCGCACTCTGTGAGTCAAATAATAAAAATGACTTAATAAATTTCTATTCTCACCATGATAACAAAATAAAATCTGGAATAACCATGGGATTTTGTTTAAGAGCGCTCAGAATGTGTATCCCTCAATATTTACATGACAAGGAGAAATGCATTGCAATACATTTAAGCCACTCTAATATCCTAATTATTTTATATTCATCGCAAAACAGAAGGCTCGTGAAATACTTCAAAATAAAAGAATGAAACATTCCGGCAAATCCAGTAAATCGAGATATATTACTCTACCTACGAACTATATCACAACAATAATTGAAAAGAATTTAGCCTAGCTTAATAAGACCTAGAAGTGAAGAGGAAGACGTCGTGATGTTAGAAAATCTTGACAGAGAAGAAATTATGAGTTCTTCAGATCAGGATAATGCAGTATAAGGAAAGAGGTTGGTAGAAAAGTTCAAGAACAACCAAACGTATTAAAACTATTCGGTTCAGGGAGGTGTAGTGGATTGGCAAATAGGATTGAAGAAGATCTTGACAGAGAAGAAAGGATGAGTTCTTCAGATCAGGATAATGCAATAGATGAGGAGCCTATAGATGATAGAGTGAATCAGACACGATGAAATCAGGTCAAGATCTCCATTAAAAAGAACAGGACATAAGCCTCAAGGGGAAGAGGAAAGAGTTTGTAGAAGTTCGAGAACAACCAAAGGCATTAAAACTTTTCGGTTCTGGGAGGTGTGGGAGATTCGTAAACAGAATTGTACCTATTTGCCTATGTTTAATAGAAGTGATATAAAGTGCATAGTAAAGTAAGAGACAGGTTGATTTATTGGTTGATTTTTTTAGCAACATATCAACCTCTGGGTTATTTAATGCTGATATCTAAATAGATTGTAAACAATATTTTGAGCGTAATTGTATGCCTTCAGCTACAGATAAAATGTATTGCCGCTAGTCATTTTGCTTTAAAAATGTGTATTGTTGATCACTTTTTATATATAAACATGTATTGCTGGTATTTTTACTATAAAATTGCATGTTTATACTTTTATATATTTTCTTTAGTTGGGGGTTCATTATTTGCCCATAGGTGGGTCCCTAACAGTTGCTACCACACCGGGTCGGGGCGAACCTGGGAAAAACAGCAGTTAAGAAGTGGTTTGACACTCCTTAAAACCTCCACAGGGCTTGCTGCCGGATGCAGTTTATCGTCATACACAGGACTGTAAGAGACAGGCAGAAATTGACTACTGATCACGTGTCAACACTATACAACACTTAACACTTTTTACAAGCACTTCTTTTTATGTGCCATGTCATTTCAGGACGTAGGCGATCATGGCTCTCCATCTCCCTCTATCCCTTGCAGCTCTCCGCAAGTTCCTTCCCTCTGCTTCCTCCCCCAGACCATGTTCTGTCATCCACTTATTTAAGTCCGCCAGATATGTCGTGCATTGCTTTCCCTTGTCTCACTTTCTGTCTGTTCGACCCATGAGTATCAGAGTCTCCAAGCCGTCCTTTCTCATTATCTGTCCCAGAAATTTCATCGGCCTCTTCCTGATATTAAGTATAAGCTTCCTCCTTGTTTGCATCCTCTCCAAAACCTCATCGTTGCTCAGACGCTCAGTCCATGATATCCTTAATACGAAATAAAATTATAATTAGGTAAAACTTGAAGTGGGTATTTGCTCTATCACCTGTAATGATTGCCACAAGGAATACATAGGTGAAACCTCGAGGAATTTAGATAAAAGATTATATAAAATTCAGATAAAATATATCTGTAAAAGGACAATATGAATAAAGACAAAAAGAAAGCATTTTATCTAGTGTTTTTCGTCCTATGATGGACTATCCTTTTGTCTTTATACATAAAAAATGATGGCAACACAAAGCAAATATTTTACAATGCAACAGACTCAATGTGTTAGCTACATACCGTAGTTCATGGACGGAACGGAATGGCTGAGAGGAAAATGAATGCCAAACATGCTTTGTTCTCAGAGAAATACATAAAACTGTATATATATATATATATATATATATATATATATATATATATATGTGTGTGTGTCCCACGCGGAAAAACAATGCATCATATATATATATATATATATATATATATATATATATAGCAAACCAGAGTGTAAGGCGAAAGAAAAACGGAAGGGTCTTAGATATAATATGGAGATAATGCTGGAGAAACTGTTTAGGACTCCAGATTTAAACCTCCCGGATTCATCTATGTCCCACACGCGGCCATATTCCCCGAAAGTGAAACACCGAGTCTTGGGTTTTCCAAAATTGAGGACTACAAGCGGGAGTTACTTTCTATATCTGGGAAAGATATCTTCCCAAAGGGAAATGGCACCATTGACTTGTAAGCTACTGGGGATGCAGAGTTAGCCTTTGCCCGGACCATGGGGTGACCAGGACTCAAAAAACCATCTTTCCTTTTGGATGCTGTAAACGAATTGAATTTGACTGCCGCTTTGGTCACCCTATAGAGTGACGTCACTAAGCGCTCCGTCACGTGACCCATGGGACTTATCTCAACCAAAGGGAGATAATCGCTTCTTGTATCCTTACAACAAAAACAAATATCATAATGGAATCGGGCAGAGTACATGACCAGACCCGTCTGGAGTATAAACTTGGGTCTTGCACCTGTTTTGCCGCTAGAAACCTGCCCTTCCTTGATGGGTACATCACGCTAAATCGAATCCACGCAAACGATTGTCGTGATATTCAGAATGACTTGTCGGACAGACATCTTGCATTTTCTTGTGTTATTGCCCTTCCGCCCCCCACCTCCCGTGTACTGGCTGTTCACCCTCATCTCAAAATATTTCAGACGCACATGTTCACAGAAAGGCAGTTTCTGTGTTTTCCCTTGCAACGTAAATTGTTATTCTGGTTGTTTTTAAAGACCTTCACAGGAAGCAGAAAACATTTATAACGGTAAAGAAAATGAAGGGTGACAACACTGTCTTTCATGCATGAAACTTTATTCCAACAGTAATTCTTCTTCAAGACCTGGACGTCCATGGATCTCCACATCTTCTTTTCCCGCTCTGTGGCGTTTAGGGTTTCTCCCTTTGTCAAATCTCCTGTTCTATGTCTAGCGATCAATTTACACTTGTCATGTACATGGCTCGTTGCCTTCTATCTTACTTGCCATCGATAGCCCTGTGAGGATCAAGTTTACCAAGCCTTCTTTTGTCGTTATGTGCTCAAGAAACTACAGCCGTCTCTTTTTGATTCTGAGTTTTTAACCTGGAACTAACGAAACGGAAGCACCGTTTCAGCTATTGTTCTAACACGGAAGTATCGTGTCGGCCATATTGTGTGTATTGTGAATCAAAAGCAGGAGTATCGTTTCTGCAAACAGAAGTCACCAGACTAAACTGTGTTGTCGTTGTTATTACAGACCCCCTTACCAATTTGTGACACTGTGTTAAAGTGTTTTTTGTTAACATTTTCTTCTTGTTGCTTACTCGTTTCGTCCATGTGCCTGCTGTAGAACCACGTTTCTGCTGACTCCATTTTTCTCTTAATATGTGGGAGATTATCCAGACTGCAATAGAAGAGGACTGATATCCCATGACAGTTCAGCACTCTTTCCTTTGCTCAAAACTAAAAATAATAAATAAAACTTGAAGCTGCCAGACCGAAGACCAAGCAATCTTTTTTTTTACTCGTTGAAATACACTAGAGTGCAACTTATGGTAGGAATGAGAAGCTTGTGTGCTTTAGTTGGTATCGTGTGTTTGTCATTTGGCAAACGATACAGAATTTATGACTTTCAATATGGCCGCTGGAGTTTGTTTATGACAGTAATATCATATGTCTTTCTTGAATAGCCCTCTAAAAGACAGATGAAACGTGTGCTCAAATAAACGGCTCTGTATTGACATTTATTAAGTTTAACTTAAGCTGGCACACAGCCACATCGACCGGTGGAGTTTTAAGGGGAAAAAATGAACCGCGAAATAAGAAAATCTTATATTTGCAATCAGAAAGAGGCAGCTGAAATTTCTGGGACTCGCAATGAAGAAAGAGGGCTTGGCGAATCTAACACTCACTGGTTATAAGAAAGGCAAGAGAACCAGGTTAAACATTTTAATGAGCTCGTTGGAATTGATGACGGAAGAGGGATGAAGGGGGAGAACTTAAAGATTAAAAAAAACATGGGGAGTTGTGAAGAACCGTAGTCGGCCACGTTCGGAAGGAACACATTAGAAGAACGACAAAAGGGAAAAGTCAGTTTGGGACGAAACAATTTGAACGAAACAGACAGCTGAGGTTTGTAAGAAGAGAAATTCTCCTACGTTCGGCTTCATTCATTTTTTTTTTTTTTACCGTGATGTTCTCCCTGTACATGGCCCGGTAGAGGTTTACAGAATAAGATACAGTTTATACGGATATTTGGGGAAGATGATATATTCATCTTATAAAAGTCTCTCGGAAGCCACTCGAAGTAGAGGCTCACAGATTAAGTGACAATGTTTATGCGAATATGTTGGGAAGATAACATGTTCATCCTGTACTAAGCCCGGGGGCCACACGAGGTAGAGTGTTACAGATTAAGAGCCACAATTTATGCAGACATGGAGGGAAAATAACGGTTAATCCTAGACTTGAACAGGTTATGATTGTAGCTCTCTTGGTCGTCGAGTCTACAGAGCGGCGATCCGCAAGAAGAAGCTGCTCAAGTAGAACTTAGATCTCATAAATGGAATATGAAAATGGTTCGCTGAAATGTACGTGGAATGATGGATCTTAGATCTGTGAAAGTTAGAACTGGTAGAACTAAGGAATGAAGTTCGTCTGAACACTTTCCATAGAAAGAGCGATAGAGAAGTGAGAGTCTTGCAACGTTCCGTGTGGAAGAAAGAGGTTGTAAGGCGGAAGAATAATTGGACGCTTTTGGAATCTATCGAGTCTCAAAACTGAAGACTGGGCAGTTCTTGCCTATATATGGCAGCAGCACTCCATGTAAAACAGTATCTGGCTCTTGTAAAAGTAGAGGATAGGACGAGGAGTCGGATACTTACTGCAGCGGTACAGGAAACCGATCACTTTTCCAGTATCTTTAGCCGTGGATCGTATGCACGAGCTCCACGAAGTCTGGGTTGAGTTTAAGGCCCAACAGGCGCTCAAGGCACGATCCCTACCTCACCACTGAGGGAACATCCATTCATCGTGATTGATGATAGTTCATGTTCCGATCGGCAATGTTGGCATGTACGTAGTTTGTTCTTTGAGGCATTGAATGTAACCAGCCTGTTTTACCCACGCTGAGCTGTTAGAGAGATCAGCTGCCAAACTTTAGTTATCTAGATTTTTGGAAGTGCATCAATATACCATTGTATCATCAGCTAAGATATTCAGAAATGATCGGTGTATACTCTTAGGCAGATCATTTGTGTAAAGTAAAAAGTGGGTTGGTCCCAGAAGAGAACACTAGGGGACGCCTTCTTTGATTCCTCGGGCCCGGACTCCTCCAGGGACTCCTTAGGAAGAACTTTATCGCTTAAAAGTCTCTTCCAATGACTCAAAAGCTATAGAGCTTTTGCAGCAATCCTTTATGCCACACCTTGTCAAACACCTTTGCGTTATCTAATGCTATAGTTGTGGAGATATATTTTTTGTCTAATGCCTCGCTAATTCTTTGAGCAATGATAGAACATCAGCAGTGGATCGAGTCGATCGAAATCAGTACGCCTTCTCGCTCAGTGAGACGGGGGAAGTCGGGAAGTGGGTGTCAGTTGTCATCTATATTTGAAGGGAGTGTCCGATGTCATCTACTTCTTGAGGCGAAGACGAAGAAGAGACGGTCTCATTGTCATTTATATTAGTGGGCACAGATGCTTTGCCTCTATTCAGAATTTGAATTCGAACACTACTCTCCGATTCCTCAATCCGAGCCGCTATCTATTACTCCACCATGATAGATATTGAATATAGTTATTTTCTAAGCGTAGCTTAGATGTGGCACAAGGCCGAAAGTATGGGGTACCTAGTGAGGATCGAACTCATTTTTCAGTCGTAACTGATCTAGCGAGACAAGCTTGCTAACCATTACACCACGACGAAGAGCCCAAAATAGATATTGAATATATAGTGGTTGCGTTGAGCTATGGCTGCAGCACAGGCAGGGGTGAATCAGCATTGGCTGTTCGATTTTTTTTTTGTTTGTATAACACTCATTTTGGTAAATTCAAATTTTTGGCATATTAATATTTTTACAAGCTGGCATGTTATTCGGAAATATGAAAAAAATGGTGCACAGTTAAAACAAACAAACCCCAAAACAAAGTTTCACGCAGAAACTTTTTTATTAAATTAATATTTTCAGTCTTAAACCTCTACTTGACGTTATGGCATCTATTGGTACTGCATTTTATCTTTCTTTCTTTTTGTGGCATTTTGTGGCATTTTCTTTCTTTCTTTCTTTCTTTATTTCTGTTTCATCTCTTTTTTATTTCTATTGTGACTTTTTCTGTTTGTCTTTGTTTCTTCCTTTCTTTTTGTGGTGTATCTTTCTTTCTTTCTATTATGTTTCTTACTTTCTGTTCCGTACCTTTCTTTATTTCTATTATGTCCCCTTCTTTTTTTTCTTTCTTTCTTTCTTTTTTTCTTTCGCGTATTTTTCTTTCATACTATTGTGTTTTTTCTTTCTGTTCCGTCTCTTTTTATTTCTATTGTGACTCTTTCTTTCTTTCTTTCTTTCTTTCTTTCTTTCTTTCTTTCTTTCTTCCTTTCTTTCTTTCTCTCTTTCTTTCTTTCTTCTCGTGGCATATTTTTCTTTCTTTCTATTGAATTTCTTTTTTCTGTTCCGTCTCTTTCTTTATTTCTACTGTATCTATTTCTTTTTTCATTTTTTTCTTTTTCCTTCCTTCCTTCTTTTAATTTTTGTGGCGTGTTTTTGTTTTTTCTTTTGTGTGTCTTTCTTTCTATTTCATCTTTTTTATTTCTATTGTGACTCTTTCTCTCTGATTTCTTTCTTTCTTTCTTTCTTTCTTTCTTTCTTTCTTATCTGTGGTGTGTTTTTCTTTCATTCTATTGTGTTTCTTTCTTTCTGTCCCGTCCCTTCCTTTATTTGTATTGTGTCTTCATTTTTTCATTTTCTTTTTGCTTTAATTGCTTCTTTTTTTTTCCATCATTTTATAAACCCCTTATTGCATTTCATTCTTTTTTTTGCGTATCTTTCTACCTTTCATTTTTCTTTCGCAGATTTATTATTATTATTATTCCTTCTTTCCTTTTATCCATTTATTTTCTATTTTTCCTTTGTATTTTCTTTTAGTCTTTCATTTTTCTTTCTCTTTCTCAACATTCATTCATTCATTCATTCTTTCTTTCTTTCTTTCTTTTATCTGTCTGATTTTCTTTCTTTCTTTACGACATGTTTGATTGCATTCTTTTCTATTTTCTTTCTTTCTTTTATCCACCTGATTTTCTTTCTTTCTTTCTTTCTTTCTTTTTTTTCCCTCGCACACTTCTCTTTTTTATCGCTTGCCTGCTGGTTCCTGTTGGTTTGCTTTCATTCACTCTTTCTTTCTTTCTTTCTTTCTTTCTTTCTTTCTTTCTTTCTTTCTTTCCCGAAGGTTCTTTCTTTCTTTC